TAATTTGTCAGTGTGAAAAAAAACCTGCCAGACATCAACAAGGGAAGCAGAAACTCTATGTAGCCAGGAAACATACAACTAGGGAACATCAGTGACTACATGAAGTGATGAATGCTAATTAGTCATTATTAACTAGATTAACTATAGACACAGCTCCATTTTCAGAATGGGAAATGACCAGTTTTCAGAAATATAATTTGGCCTTTTAGGCCACTGCTATGGTAACATTGAAAATCTTACCAAAATCTTTCAAAAAATGAAAAATCATTTTTTTATGTCTTGCAAACATATATGTTTGGTTTTCTGTGATGAGATTGTTGTTAATTCTGCTTGTTTTATCACCAATATAATGTTATCTAGCTGGCTAAAATAGATGAGGAAACTACAAGTTAATCATGTATGCTTTACATTGTATGCCATAGTTTTCCAGCAAAGGTGTGTTTATAAATTGAGTTAATTTATGGCTGTATAATTTCCAGCTTTTGCAGTTATTTTGCAAAGAAAACCTCTTTAAAACATTTTTTGTAAAGATTTTTTTATTGTTTTGTCATGAACAATGTATAAAAAAACGTTTTCTAGAAAATATAACAATATAAAAATGTTGAATATAAAAATTTAATTCATGCTTATCCTTGAATAAAAGTGTCAGTTAAAAAAAACAATCTTGACCCAAACAGTAGCGTATTTTGTCATTTAGTCAATGACTGGCCGGCAGAAAACATCCTTCCTGTTAAGCCTTGATTGTTTTTTTTATTTTTATTTTATTTATTTCTTTTTTTAAATTCAGCAAAAACACAGATTTTGCACCAAATTGTGATGTTGGTGAAAAAAACTCTGAACAGGTGCAATATAAACAGAACTATAAACCATGTGTATTGGTTTCATTTTATGTCAAGGAAGAGCCAGCTGTGTAGTTTTATACTCGTATGTAGAGAATGTGCCGGTGTGTTTGCTTAAGATGTTGAGCTGGTCATGTGGTGGATCACCATACGATCTAGTTTCAGTGAAAACAGAGCAGCCTCAGCCTTGGCTAGTCAAGCATGTGTGCCAGTGCCTATCACGACAAAGGTTAAAGTTTGTGTGCTTTATTGGCTTCATTGGTGTGACAGATAACACTGCATGTGCTTTATCAAACCAGCCTCAGACCATGAATAACAAAAGATGCAAAAATAAAGTTTTCTGCATTAAAAACCATCTCTCTGTGTCTTTATCTGTTATAAGATGGAGATTTAATGAGTAGGAGAGAGACACAAGAAGGAAACAGCTGTTTGTGAGGGGGTGGTAGCACTGGCTGTCAGTGTGGTGCCATCTCTGTCTGTTCATGTGGGTACAGAGTCACGGCGCAGTGCAGCAGCTCTCCTTCACTCACGTGGCAGCAGCATTATCATAAAACCTATAAACCCTAAAGGAGTAGTTAAGCCAACAATGGAAATTCTGTCATCATTTACTCCACTTCATGTCTTTCCAAACGTGTATGATTCACAAAAGTGTTTAGCAGAATATCAGAGGTGCTCTATTACATGAAACGAAGGTGGATGGGGACTGGGGGCTTTCAAGCTGCAGAAAAGAACTAAAAAGCACCATAAAAGTATCATAGTAGTCCATAAGTCTTCTGTAGCCTTAGATGGAGTTGTTTGTGGCAAGGGTGTATGTTTGACATAACGGCAGACAACGGACATTTAATTGTTTGATCAGAATTATTGCTTGGGAAAATGTAGTAGTCACTGGATATTCGCGATCCCGCTCTGAAGTCCCGGTCTAAATCAAATGATTCAAGATACGCGTACCGGAGTCCCGATCTGAATCAAAAGATTTACGAACCCGCTCCAAAGTACCGATCTAAATCACCAATCTAAATCAAATGATTCGCGATCCACGCTCCGTAGTCTCGATCTGAATAATGATCCGTGACACGCGAAGTCCCGATCAATCGTTTGATTTAGATCAGGACTTTGGAGCAGGTTCACAAATCGCAAATCATTCAATTTGCAAAATGATTCGCGAACCGCTCCTAAGTTCCAATCTGAATCAAAAGATTCACGAACCCACCCACTCTGAAGTTCTGACCTAAATCAAATGATTTTCGATACACAAAGTTCTGATCTAAATTAAATGATTCGCGAGCCTGCTCAGAAGTCCCAATCTAAATCAAATGATTGGTGATACACGCTTTGAAGCCTCGATCTGAATCAAATGATTCGCAATATGCGATCCGATTGGAGGGCTTAGAAACAGTGAATCATTTTGCCCGTTTACTTAGTGAAAACACTCCATTAATATGAAGAGCTGCACCTCAAAATGCATGTTGGATGGAATGTGCATTATGATTGACTTAGTAGCTTAATTCGCTATATTTTAAATTGACCGCTGCAATTTAATTGGTGACCGTTCAATAGAAAATCAGTTGAAAGCATCCAGTCATCTCATCTCATACCATTGAAGTGAATGTTATTTCAGATGCAGCCGAAATTACAACAACAGCGGTTACATACACATAGATTTAATTATTTGATCAAAATTATTGCTAGGGACAATTTAGTAGTTGCTGGATATTGATAGGGACATGTCCCTAGCATCCCTATTAAATTCTACCCCCTTGGTGTGTGGATCAAACTGAAATTTGATTTTCGAGATCTCGCATCGTTCAGAAGTTAGGGGTCAGTAAGGCTTTTTTTACTGTATATTTAGCAAGCATGCGTTAATTTAGAATAGAAGTGATAGTCATTTATAATTTTACAAATGATTCCTATTTCAAATAAATGGTGTTCTTTTGAACGTCCTATTCATCAAAGAATAGAAAAATAGGCAAAAATATTTAGCTGTTTTCAACATTGATAATAATAAGAAATGTTTCTTGAGCATATTAGAATGATTTCTAAAGGATCATGTGACACTGAAGACTGGAGTAATGATGCTGAAAATTCAGCTTTGCATCACAGGAATAAATAACATTTTAACATTCAAATAGAAACAGTTTTTTTTTTTTAATTGAATATTGAATGTTTTACTCTATTTTTGATCAAATAAATGCTGCCTTGGTGAGCATAAGATGCGGTACGATAATATGCATTACTTATAATTACACTATATTCCAAGTCTTCTAAAGTCATATGATCGCTTTGTTTCAGAAAATATATATAAAAATTTAAGTCATTATTTGCAGTCTTTTACTCTGTCACATCTTTAAAATTGCATTCCCTTTATATTCTTGTTTGCTTCAAGATTTAAAAAATGGCGAATCCTGACTTAAAGGGGTCATATGATGCTACATGCACTTTTACAAGTTGTTTGAACTGAAATGTGTGTTGGCAGTGTGTGTACACAACCACCCTATAATGATAAAAATCCAGTTAATGCATTAACTAAGGTTAACTAATTAGGTCTTATTGTAAAGTGATACCTATTGGTCTTTATAGTTCTTTTGCACTTTAATCTGTGTAAAACTTTTAACTTTATACATTTTTCTGTATTGCTTTATTGCATTTAAATGTTCAGTTATTTTTGTTATAAGAAAAACGTTATTAAACCTGTTATACTGTATTATGACAGCACTTTTTTAAACTAAATTTCAATATCGAGATAATACCGCATACCGTGATAAAAGCATAATCAATTAACCGCAACATGAAAATTTGATACCGGCATATCCCTAGTCCGCCATTGTTTCACCACCGGAGCAGATGTAGACAAGAATGACTCCTAAGCGATCGAGGTGTTCTGTTGTTGGATGTAATAATGAACATAGCAGTCGTCATTTACTCCCGACATCTGAGGGTGAAGACGCAGTGGATTATGTTTGTTTTTGAAGAAAATGACCCCCCGATCTACATAAATGCGTCTATTTTCGCGCGAATCATTCGTGATCCAGCCTCATCTACAGAAGAAGTGAGTGTAAGGTTTTTTAATGAATCTTTGCAAATCGCCTTTCCTAATAATGTGCTAATTAGCAAGTTTCACGATGAATGAGGCTAAAGTAAACAGTCCCTCAGAGAGCGGCTCGGAAAATGCTACAAAACAGTTTTTGACGGGGTAAAAAAAGGTGTTTTTTTCACTACCATTGAAAAATTTTAACCAAACTATGTTGCAGACTTTTCATTAAGACCCTAAAGAATCATATCAACTTGTGGAAAATGGGCATCCTATGACCCCTTTAATGATGCCCAGTGGCATTTGTTGTCCTGTATTGCAAAGAGTCACTTTCATTGTATGCAAAAGAACAGCCTGAATATTCTACTTTTCCTTTTGTTTCACGGACGAATGGAAGGCAAGGTTTGGAATGACATGAGGATATAACACAAACGGGTTCAACATAAACAGGGACATTGAAGGCAATATACAAGTTGAGCAGCGGTGTAAAGCTTCTCTTTGAAGTCAAAATGGAGCAGAAGCTAAAATTAGAGGCGCCTTGGCTCTTTTTCCTCTAACAACCATTTTAGCGGAACAGATCAGAAAAACTGTTCACAGATCGGAAGATTTTCCCCTCGCTGACGTCATTCAGAGATTAAGGTCTTTCTGTTCTCAACATGAGCCAGATCTCCATGAAATCAGTTTTGTGACTTCAGAAAGGGATTTATCTTACCATAGTTCTTACCATAGTTTTCAGTTAGTTCTGTGGACGAAAACACAAGTTATGCTTGCCTCTAGAAGTTCATTGTTTCGCCATCACACTGTTCAGTGGGACACGTGTGACTCATCACTGCTGAGATGCGTGGGCCAATCGGATCACAGATTTCCCTCTGTATATTGTCAGACGATGTGTTATATGTTGCATGATTTTCCTCTAGGTTGTCTGTGTTTGACAGATGTAACTTGTACCATTTCTGATCTGCATGAAGGACTATCCACAAGCCCACACATTGCCTTGTGAACGTCCCTCTAATTTCCACTATTGGCTTGACGTCCTCAAATCAATGTCCTCAAGTCTTCCTAAAATCAATGCCACTTTTCTTACAGAAATGAATCCTTAACCACATCTTCTCTTGATTTTTCTCTCTCTGCAGGGGTGTGTGGTTGTTGTGGAGCGCTGAGGCCGCGCTACAAGAGACTGGTGGACAACATCTTCCCTGAAGACCCAGAGGTGATAGCATTCCCTCTCTCTCAACTTCATCCATCACAGAGAGTCTATTTACAGTCAAACAGCCCTCGTTCGCCTCTCAAACCGCTTATTTGCTATTGCATTTATGTTCTTGGCAGATGCTTGCTTTTCGAGAGCACTTAAAAGAAAGTGCATTAGTGTGTAAGAGGCAATTAACTAAGCAGGTGTCCAAGGATGCAAGCGACTCACAGTCTTTGCTGAGACAGAGTTCAACACCATTTTATGTTATTTTCTCAAAAACTATCCACCTGAAAGCTGAAATATCTGAAATGCCTTCTTAAGTTCATATTTGTGAGCCTGATGCGCTGCAGTAGTTCAGTAAATTAGTGCTCAGTGTGGGTTAAAACCAGAAGGGTTGAACATTACAATAATGATTATCCAGCTACAGAAGAACTCCTACGGATAACTTTCTTCTTCAGCACAAAAACTCATTGTCCATAGAAATAGATGGACTGAGTAGTGTCCATAAATCTGTATGCTACATTATTTGTCTCCTTAAAGTTTGGATTATTTAACGGTTGACTAATTATCCAAGACTACCATGATTTTAGCTTCAGTAGTTCATATTTTTAGCAGTGATGCAAATGAATAAATGTGGGGAACAAATGAATAGATGAGTTTAGAAAGATGGCAGTCCCTTCCAACTTAGACTTTGTAGAGAAGATGCTTTTCTAAATTCATCTAAAGCAACACTTTTTTTAACAACTTCAAGACAGTTTTTATTTCAAGACAGTTACTGTTGCTGTAGGTCACCAGCTGTGAGCAATATTCCCGTTACTATACAGTCAGAATGCATGTTTTCTTCTGTGAGGACTGTAGTTTTGTCACCCTGTGGAAGTGTGTTCTTTCCTTCCGTCTACATTCTGTTTGAATGCAAATATGCTTCCCAGGAATGCACAATATATTGGTACCATATTGATTACTGCCTGATCTGGATTGATTATGGATGTTTATTTATGCATGCTTATTTCCCCTTTTTTAATTTTTAAAGGTCTAATAAATAATGCTGTTAAATGTAATCTTTAGCAAATCTCAAAATTTATATATTTTTTTCTTACTTTCATTATAATTTTGATACTTGAATTCCCTTGTATGATTAGATGTGAATTTTGACAATGATACATTATACCATTTAAAAGTTTTTTTGTTTATTGAAAAAGTACTTTTATTTAGAAAAGATGCATTCAATTGTTCAAAGGTAACAGTAAAACTATTTACAATATTAGAAAAGATTTCTGTTTCAAATCAATGCTGTTCTTTTGAACTTATTTTCATCAAAGAAAAACATTAAAAAAACGTACCAACCCCAGACTTTTGAATGATAACACACTTTTACAGATTGAAACATGTACGTCTTGCCCTGTTCGAAGTGTGCTGTGTCAATGATATTGATGCTTTCTCTCTCTCTGTTTGTGTGTGTGTGTCTGTAGGATGGATTGGTAAAGGCCAACATGGAGAAGCTGACTTTTTACGCTCTGTCAGCTCCAGAGAAATTGGATCGGATCGGGGCATACCTGTCTGAGAGACTGTCTCGTGATGTAGCTAGACACCGTTATGGGTACTGAAATTCATAACAAGCCTGATCTGATATACCCATCTTGTGATTTGTAATGCACATGTTTTTCTTTCTCCTGTTCCTCCATATTCAGTGTGTGTTTGTCTCTTCAGGTATGTGTGTATTGCGATGGAAGCCCTCGACCAGCTGCTAATGGCCTGCCACTGTCAGAGTATCAACCTGTTCGTGGAGAGTTTCCTGAAGATGGTGCGGAAACTCCTGGAGGCAGACAAACCCAACCTGCAAATCCTGGGAACAAACTCTGTATGTACACACTGTTGTATGGTAGTTCACTGACGCAGAGGGTACTGCACTGAACTGCAGTCTTCATGAGTGTTCTATAAAATGTATTCAAAAAATCTTTATCTAATAATCACTAATGGATGGGATAGTTAAGAAACTTAAAGGAATAGTTTACCCAAAAATGAAAATTAGTTTGTAAGAAACAAATCCATCAACTAAATTACCACTTTTTTGTCACATTCTGATAGTAAAAGTGTGTAATATGGCCCTTTTAATGCTCTGTATTTTGGACCCCATGTGCAGTGAAGGTTTGTTTTATATAAAACATTTGCTGATGAACGTTGTAGATGAGCAACAAACAAGCACACACACTGCAGTGCATCCATCTAAATGCAATCAGAACATGGAAATAAAATCAAATTCAATTATAGATCAAAACGAGTAATCTAGGGCGTTGAACATGCACCCACATTAAACATATGAAATGCAATGCTTAAACTGAGAGTGACTAACCCGTTTTATTTTATTCGGTATCATCCAGAACCACCTTAGCTACTGCATGCTGAAGATATCAGTCACATATAAAAACCCCTTTTAAACTGATTTATTTCTCAGTGGTGTTTCACAATGACCTTATTTACCTGGAAATGCTAGGACAGAGATGCGTTAGTCATAACTGCACCCACATCTGTTCTCTGAAGTTTCATCGGGTTCCGCAAAAGCCAAATTGGATAATAGGAAGGAAATGTAGGTCCAGAGTTTGCGATGCAGTTATTCATTAATTACAGATTTGATATGCAGGCACTAGTTTAAAATGATTCATTACATCATCTAGGTGACAGGGTCTCATTTATCAGTTCTCTACCATTTCTATATTAAGGCATTTTATTTTTATTTTATTCATGACCTTGGTGATCTTGATCTAAAATAGCTGAAATCTATAAATAAGCTAAACCTGTCAAATGATAAAAGATTGGGTTCATTTTTAGTCTGAAACTAATTCGGGAAGACTGTATATAACAGATTAGTAGTTCATGTACATTGAAATATTAATATACATGCAAATATCTGAATCTGTGAAATTATATGTGAATATATGATGCATGAGTTTCATGGCATTTCTAACTATTCAAATCTGCATTACCTAATGAACCTGTCCTAATCTTAAAATAATGTATTAATGTTATTAGTTTAATTAACTTCCAAGTGAAGCCTATTCCCCTACAGTATATGGATATTTATTATTATTGTTTGTAGGTGTCAGAAAAGCTTTTATTGTCTAATAATGACGATGAGGTGACAGTGCTGTCGATTGGGGTTAATGTAGAACAAAACAACATTTTAATCTTTGATAATACCATCTCATAATCACCCACTCACTGGCCCTGGGTGGAGCAGCATTTGCAGTCTGGGTTTGCAGAAATGAGTTTTTAACCTGATTTGGCTTTGGTTTGTCTAGGTATGTAATTAATTTATTTCTATTGAATTGCTCTCATTTTGCAGTTTGTGAAGTTTGCTAACATCGAGGAGGACACCCCCTCGTATCATCGCAGTTACGATTTCTTTGTGTCGCGGTTTAGTGAGATGTGCCATTCCAACTATGAGGACCCCGACATCCGCACCAAGTGAGCAAACACACACGCACACATCTGGCAGTGTGCAGTCAGTGTAGACAGACAGACAGACAGACATTTAGTCAGTTAGTAGGGGTGTAACTGTACATGTATTCGTACCAAAAATTTTTGGTAGTCTTATCTTTCGAATTATGTCACTTTTTTTAAAAGAAATTCAAATAATAAATTCAGATTTTACGCTCTTTGATGTCGCGTGACAGATCGCTGTATAAACGCCTCACTTTAAACGGCAGCGTGGGGTTCGAGTGAGCGCGATCATCCCTTATTCTTTACTACTAGTTTTAACGCGAAATAAACATAAACGAACAAATCATGCCTCTTCTAGTCACTCAATCAGTGTTTCAACTGTGGAAAGACATCAATAAAACAGCTTGTAAACAAAATGTCACGTTACATTTCATTTACCTCACGCAAGTCATCAGTGTCCACAGCTCGTTAGTTCGCTATAGAGAAATAAAGTCTAGAGAAGAGCATTTTGCGAAATATTAGACTATATACTCATTATATTTTACTTTACCTGTTAGTGATGTCTTAATTATTGTATGTTTAAATAAATCTGTTATGAAACAAGTTACAACAGCCACTGTGTAAATGAATATAATTCAACAACAAATAGAAATTTTGTAATTTAGTAGTTAATTTAAAAATGGCGTTATGTGCAATGTATATGTTTTCATACAATTTTTTTAAAGTTTAGTGTTAATTATTATATTTAAAAATAATAAATAAATTACTATAAATTAAAACCTTATAGTAATGTAAAAGGGCTCTATAGTTTAGAGCAGAAACTGAGGTAGATTTGTATCCCTAAGAAAATAGTAATTATAATTTAATTTATTTAAAGAAAGAGCAATTTGTTCAGTAAACCACTGTTTAATTAAAAAAAATAATAAAAATTTGTTTAGTTTTTCCCCCTGCTGTACCGAAACCATACCGAACCATGACGTCAAAACCAAGGTACGTACCAAACCGTCATGTTTGTGTACCGTTACACCCCTGATAGATAGATGGATGGATGGATGGATGGATGGATAGATGGATAGATAGATGGATAGATAGATGGATAGATAGAGAACATTAAAGAGAATATACACTATATACACGCTATACACACATTTTTCACATCTAATTGAACACTTCCTCATCTCAGAATCCGAATGGCTGGCATCAAAGGTCTACAGGGAGTAGTGAGGAAGACCGTAAACGATGAGTTGCAGGCAAACATCTGGGACCCTCAGCACATGGACAAGATCGTGCCCTCACTGCTCTTCAATCTGCAGTCTGGTGAAGGCACAGAGAGGTGAGAGTGTTGGGCTTAAACTGGCTAATAATTGACTCATATGGGACACAAACTTGTCTTCCTCCAGGGATGGTTGGCGGCTCTCGTGGCTGAATCCTCCATTGAGCCGCATCATTAACATTTACTAATTACTTGTATACAAATGGAAATCCAAGTGATATAATCTGTATGAAATTATCTAGTAATTACAAGCAGTTGTGATTGGTTCAGCCATTAAGCCCCAACCTTTTCTAGAACCATTTCAAGCATTTCAACTGCCATTCTGCCTGCTTATTCTATTTGTGTGGGTGAAAATCAGCCACTCACTGTCTTTGCACCTACAGTCAGATGCCTACAAGGGAAATAACTTGAGATATTGTCCCTGCTGACAACTTGGAGCCAAGTGGAAGATCACGCAGTGATAACTGCAGTGATCATGTGACTTTCCTTTGAGTTTCCTCATGTATTTTCCTTTGACTGTTAGGCATATTTTACTGGACTATCCTCCTTTAAAAGTTACTAGGTTTTATTAAGAAATAAATAGTATTTAAAAATAGTAGTAAGAAATTCTACTTCAATAGTAGATTAGAAAAAAAGAAAAATTAGAAATAATTAGAATCACTAATATTGTGAATTTTTAAGAAGTCATCTCCTTTGCTCACCAAGACTCCATTTATTTGATCAAAAATACATTAAAACAGTAATATTCTGAAATATTATTACAATTTGAAATAAATGTGGTGACAGCCAAATTTTCAGCATCATTACTCCAGTCTTCAGTGTCACATGATCCTTTAGAAATAATTTTACTATGCTGATTTGCTGCTGAAGATAAATTTATTGTTATTAGTTTTTAAAACAGTTGTGCTGCTTAATATTTTATGGAAAACCCTGATACATTTTGTCAGGATTCTTTGATAAATAGAAAGTTGAAAATAGAAAGTCTTTACTGTCACGTTTGATGTTGTGAATACTGTGACTTTATGCACCTGCACATCTTTTAAATTTTGCATTAGTACAAAAAGTTGCAATGTTTGAAATTTGAAATCAAAATTGATCTACAAATCACTTCCATTATAATCAACAAAGCTGGCTCCTTGTTGATGCGCCCCCTACGCAGCCATAATTACACCACGGGTGGAGACGTTAATTACCCCTTTCTGCTGTTGCTATGTGCTAATTGGCGTTTGATGTAAAGGGCAGCTGATAATTAACTCGTCCTGTGAGATGTGCACATTTCAGATGGGCAGGACAGCAAGGCTGGTTTAGTGCAACCACAGCAGTGGACTAAAACACAATGTACTTTTATTTCTGGTCAACTAAACAGTCCAGCATCCTTCTGGACGTGTGGCAGGAGGCTTTTAGTTGAGGTGAGAAGAGTTTCTGCAGATTTAGCCCAGCGTCATGTGGTTATATAACCCAGGGACGGTGGGCGGAGCAGCAGGCTGACTGACAGCAGGGTGTGTGAGGGCAGAGGAACAGTGTGATTAATTAATGATAAGACAAACCCTGAGAGACCCTCAGCCCTTTTTTTTTGACACACACACACCGTGAAGCTCACACAGGAAGTTTTCCATTATACATAACACAATGTCAGACTTTCAGGCTCCTACGTTATACAAAAAAGCATTTTCATAATCTCTGTTTTGTCTGGTGTTTTCTTTTAAAAAATTTACTTGAGAAGCAAAAGATGTATGATAATCAGACTTGATAAGTTTCAAATGAACAGGATAGTTGCTGTAACAAGTTTTAAAAAATGTTAGAACTGCTATCAAATATTAAGCTGAAAGAGTTTCTGTAGTTCTGAGAAGTTTAGTGTACAATATTGTTGTACTTTCAGTCTCCTAAATTACACAAAAGTCATTTTCTTAATCTGTTTGGTCTTATTTTCTTGTAAAAACATCAGAACATTCCTAAGATAAATATACTTAAGGCAAAATGTGTTTAAGTACTCGATGAGACTAATGAATCTCTAATATTTTACAGGACCGTCTTGCTTTTAATGTTACTAGGGAATGGTTTTAAGAAATTTCAGTAGTAACAATGTTAGAATTACTGTCAAATATTAAACTGAAAGATTTTATGGAGTTGTAATATTGTACTTGTAATACAAGGTTTAATTGTATGCAGTATTATTATTTTGTATTAATTTTAATTTCAGACTTTTAGGCTTCAAAATTACACAGCAAGCTTTTACCTATTCTGTAATTCTTGTTTTCTTGTAAAAAAAATCATCAGATCATATTTAAGAAAAACTTACTTGAGAAGCAATATATGAGCTAATAAGAAACTGTAAGATTCATGTGACTATAGTTGCTGTAGCATATTTTGCTGGACTGTCTTGCTTTTAATATTCTAGACAATGGTGTTTAGAAATTTCAATAGTAAATGTTTTTTCAAAATATTATAATTACTATCAAATGCTAAACTAAAAGATTTTAATAGCTGTAGAAATCATTTTTGTTGTATGCAATATTGTATTGTTTTTTTTAGGTTAAGTTATGCAAATAGTGTTTTTTAAACTGTTTTGTCCTGTTTTCTTGTTAAAAGACCATCAGAACATATTTAAGATGAATGAATTTAAAATATGTATGATAACATCTTGACTTACATTTCAAACTAAATTTGGATTAAGTGGAGATTAGCCAATTATAATAGAGGTAGTGTCAAAGTCTTAAAGTTGCAGTAGCAGGAAAACTGTTTTTCTAAATATATCTAAATGATAAAATTTTTAGTGCAAGAATCCTTGAAATGGACTGCTAAAAATTGGCTACAGGTGTTTTGTTTTTTTACTTGTAAACACTCATTATATTTGTCAGTACGTTTTTTATTCAGCTTATCAGAAACCAAAGCTGTGTTTAAATCCTCAGTTGAGAAGAGCTGAAAACAAAAAGCCTCCCTCTCTTTCTGTTTCCTCTGCAGTCGCTCTCCCTCCCCGCTGCAGGCCAGTGAGAAGGAGAGAGAAAGCCCAGCCGAGCTGACGGAGCGCTGCTTTCGGGAACTGCTGGGCCGTGCCGCTTATGGCAACATCAAGAACGCAGTCACCCCTGTGCTTATGTAAGAGACCCACCACATATCGCGCCTGTCAGCTTAGGTTATGAAGGTTGAGAATTTCATTTTGTAAACCTATGCGGGCATTGCTTCAGTTTTTAAGCTATAGCTGTATGCCACTTAAGATTAAGTGAATTTGTCTTGTAATTGTAGTCTCTTAATGTTGGCATTTCGGTAAGGGACTAAGAGTAACTCCGAATACTTAATACACGTGTTCAGTTATGGAGTATTTATGACTTTTTAATTAATCTCACTGCGGGTGCGGTGAATCTCATTTTTCAGTCACTTTTGGCTTCATTTCTCAAGCTCAAGGTCTGTTCTCTCACCGCAGGCATCTTGATAATCACTCGCTGTGGGAAGGCAAAACATTTGCAGTGCGCTGCTTTAAGATCATCATGTACTCCATTCAGGTGAGTTCAGAATCTAAGCTTGCTTGTTGTTGTTATTATTAAAAAAGAATAAATGGAAGAAAAAAAGGATAATTTAATGATTTATTAAAACGTATACTGATGTTTACCTAATGAAAAAAATACATGCCATTGATTTGTATTTATTTTGTTAATTTTATTTAAATATTTAATATATTTTTTTATTTAAAATTTATAATAAATCATTTTGGGTGGCACCCAAAGCTGTTTGTCCGAACATGTTTAAAGCTTTATTTAACCTTTTTAAAATGTAAATAATATATTAGTATTTTTGCATTGGTTACAGTAGTGAAGCAAAAATTTATATTTTAAATATGTAAGTATATACTATATATCTGTTTATTTATTTTAATGTAATTTTTTTTTTTTTTTACCATGTTATTTATTCTCTCTTCTTTGTCTATCTTTCTTTCTCTCCCTCCAGTCCCAGCATTCTCATCTGGTCATCCAGCAGCTCTTGGGCCATGTGGATGCCAACAGTAAGAGCTCAGCCACAGTGCGTGCTGGGATAGTGGAGGTCCTTCTGGAGGCGGCTGGCATCGCTGCCAGTGGCTCTGTTGGTGAGTATGGATTTGCAGCCTGGTTAATGTGAATCACTACCATGAATATACAAAACATTAAGTAGTGTAGCCGGTGCACAGGAGCAGACCGGTGTCTTTTTGCACATGCTGTAACGCATATCACATATTTTACGCCTGTGCTCAGTATCTGGGTCACTCTCCCCCAGACGTTAAGCCTTTCTTCTGGGAGAACAGAACTGTGACATTGCATTTGACCCAATCTAGATTTCAGCCAAAAATATACATTTGACAGCCCGACTCTGCTCTCTGACATCAAGTCAGTGCTCAGACTGCTCACACCTAATATCCGGTGTGAAAGCCCTTCACACCTCCTCTTGCAGCACTGCTGCTGACCCAAGGGGGGCAACGCCACCTGCAGCTTTAAGATAGAACTATGAAAACTGATTCATTTTCAGGTCATTTAACCATTTGTAGATTTAAATATTCTAGTTATAAAAATTTACTTATATGTGTGTATGTGTGTGTGTGTGTGTGTGTGTATATATATGTTTTTGTGAATTTATGTATGTATGTTTATTTAATTAAGATTTTATGTAGCTGCAATGTTGTAATTGTAATACAAGGTTTAATTGTATGCAGCATTATTATTTTGTATTATTGTATTGTATCTAAATAAATTACACAACAAGCTTTTCCTTATTCTGTGATCGTCTTGTTTTCTTGTAAAAAATCATCAGAACATATTTAAGAAAAATTTACTTGAGAAGCAAAATATGTGTTAATAAGATTGTCAGATTCATGTGACTCTATAGTTGCTGGACTGTCTTGCTTTTAATGTTGTAGACAATGGTGTTTACTGTTTAGAAATTTCAATAGTAGGTGTTTTTAAAAATATTAGAGTTACTATCAAATATTAAACTGAAAGATTTTATAAAGTTGTAGCAAGAATTTCTGTTGTATGCAATATTATATTATATTGTATTGTACTGAAAATTATGTTCAAATACTCCATTTAATGTCACAGAACTTTACATAAACACAGGCTTTCACAATATTTTCAGTCGCTGTTTGAATGTAGTAAAACCACATACCAGAGAACATTTGGGTCATGTTTGCATTTTCTTCTGTCACTGCTCGTAATCCTAACCTTGAAAGTATAGAATTAGGCATTATATAATATCCTTAGGATCATTTATACATGTTAAAATCATCTGAGAATTGAATAAATAGTTGTAACCTGGCTCAGAGGAAGATGGGGCAGATTTTCTGGTGATTAATACAAGACTTCTTCACCTTGCAAATGGCTGTCAGAAGCAAAAATGCTATGAAATGCACAATATATTTTGTGAGAAAGTGTTACTTGCTAGAGCAAAACAGGAAAAATGTGTGGAGTCCACACCTCAAAATTAGTAAGAAACAGTAACGGATTTCATTCAGCAAATATGATGCTAGTCATTATAACAATTTTAATTTGTTCACAAATTGGACACCTTGAGATGATCGCACCGGATATCTCCATTTGTACTTATTTAGTCTGTTCAGCTGTGATTTTTTTTTTTTTTTTACCATGTTATTTATTCTCTCTTCTTTGTCTATCTTTCTTTCTCTCCCTCCAGTCCCAGCATTCTCATCTGGTCATCCAGCAGCTCTTGGGCCATGTGGATGCCAACAGTAAGAGCTCAGCCACAGTGCGTGCTGGGATAGTGGAGGTCCTTCTGGAGGCGGCTGGCATCGCTGCCAGTGGCTCTGTTGGTGAGTATGGATTTGCAGCCTGGTTAATGTGAATCACTACCATGAATATACAAAACATTAAGTAGTGTAGCCGGTGCACAGGAGCAGACCGGTGTCTTTTTGCACATGCTGTAACGCATATCACATATTTTACGCCTGTGCTCAGTATCTGGGTCACTCTCCCCCAGACGTTAAGCCTTTCTTCTGGGAGAACAGAACTGTGACATTGCATTTGACCCAATCTAGATTTCAGCCAAAAATATACATTTGACAGCCCGACTCTGCTCTCTGACATCAAGTCAGTGCTCAGACTGCTCACACCTAATATCCGGTGTGAAAGCCCTTCACACCTCCTCTTGCAGCACTGCTGCTCAAGCAAGGGGGGCAACGCCACCTGCAGCTTTAAGATAGAACTATGAAAACTGATTCATTTTCAGGTCATTTAACCATTTGTAGATTTAAATATTCTAGTTATAAAAATTTACTTATATGTGTGTATGTGTGTGTGTGTGTGTGTGTGTGTATATATGTTTTTGTGAATTTATGTATGTATGTTTATTTAATTAAGATTTTATGTAGTTGCAATGTTGTAATTGTAATACAAGGTTTAATTGTATGCAGCATTATTATTTTGTATTATTGTATTATTTGTATCTAAATTACACAACAAGCTTTTCCTTATTCTGTGATCGTCTTGTTTTCTTGTAAAAAATCATCAGAACATATTTAAGAAAAATTTACTTGAGAAGCAAAATATGTGTTAATAAGATTGTCAGATTCATGTGACTCTATAGTTGCTGGACTGTCTTGCTTTTAATGTTGTAGACAATGGTGTTTACTGTTTAGAAATTTCAATAGTAGGTGTTTTTAAAAATATTAGAGTTACTATCAAATATTAAACTGAAAGATTTTATAAAGTTGTAGCAAGAATTTCTGTTGTATGCAATATTATATTATATTGTATTGTACTGAAAATTATGTTCAAATACTCCATTTAATGTCACAGAACTTTACATAAACACAGGCTTTCACAATATTTTCAGTCGCTGTTTGAATGTAGTAAAACCACATACCAGAGAACATTTGGGTCATGTTTGCATTTTCTTCTGTCACTGCTCGTAATCCTAACCTTGAAAGTATAGAATTAGGCATTATATAATATCCTTAGGATCATTTATACATGTTAAAATCATCTGAGAATTGAATAAATAGTTGTAACCTGGCTCAGAGGAAGATGGGGCAGATTTTCTGGTGATTAATACAAGACTTCTTCACCTTGCAAATGGCTGTCAGAAGCAAAAATGCTATGAAATGCACAATATATTTTGTGAGAAAGTGTTACTTGCTAGAGCAAAACAGGAAAAATGTGTGGAGTCCACACCTCAAAATTAGTAAGAAACAGTAACGGATTTCATTCAGCAAATATGATGCTAGTCATTATAACAATTTTAATTTGTTCACAAATTGGACACCTTGAGATGATCGCACCGGATATCTCCATTTGTACTTATTTAGTCTGTTCAGCTGTGATGACTGATTTTTTTAAAAACATCTCTGCATATATTATAAATGTGTGTGTTTGTTGCTTATTTTAGGCCCCACAGTGTTGGAGGTTTTCAACACACTGCTCCGGCATCTGAGGCTCAGTGTGGACTATGAGCTCACTGGATCATACAACTGCACTAACATCGGCACCAAAATCATCAAGGAGCATGAGGAGAGACAGCTACAGGAAGCCGTCATCAGGACTATCGGTGTGTTTGTGTGTGTGAGCATAACATGACCCACATTTCAATCTTCTTTAAATTTTCTGATTTTTCATTACTATGGTCTGTGTGTTTTGAAATCAGGCTCATTTGCAAACACCTTACCAACGTACCAGCGTTCTGAGGTGATGCTCTTCATCATGGGGAAGATCCCTATTCCAGGCATGCATCCCATGCTGCCCTCTACAGGCTCAGGGTGAGCACTGCAGTCACTATTGTGTCCCTAAATGTTTATTATGGTTGTCAATGAAAATTCTCTAAAAAAAAAAAAACGGACTCAAACAAAATAATTTAGTTGCAAAATCACTGTTTTACCCTTAACACGAATTAAATTACCTGAAATTTATGAGGTGAACATACTGTATTTACTTCTGTCTTTACTGCAGGCCTGAGGGCAACCGAATGATCCAAGTCATGCTGTTGAAGTCCTTGAGACAGGTAAACTCTCTGCCTGCTTGATGCCTCATGAAAGAGAATTGCATCAAAGCACAGATTTGGTGTTGTAAAGATCATGCTTCTCTCTTTCTTTTTAGGTCACATGTGGTTTCCAGACGACCAACATGCTGACAGCTCTTCCCAACTCCTTTCTGGACCCACTGCTGTCATTTGCGCTGCTAGAAGATGCAGAAATTCGACTGTTGGTGCTGGAAATACTGGTCAGCCTTATCGATCGCCATGACAACCTCCCCAAGTTCTCCAGCATCAGGTTAGTATCTTCATTGGATTTACACCAATAAAGATATTTATATATATATATA